TAAATAAAAATAAACAAACAACAGCAATAACATAAAAATGTAAAAAGTGAACTCTGATGTTAATATAACCCAGCATGTGATGTCCACATGTGGTCCTCAGAGCTTCAGGAACTTGTTCAGTGCAAAGCCAGTTTATTTTCTGCTGATACTTGAAGGATGACGTGTTGTTGATCAAGTGTCAGAACTTTAGGCTCAGATTTGTTCTGAGTTCTGAGCCCGACAGATGACTAGTTTCAAATAAAGTAGAAAGTCTGATGATTCCTTCTGTCCTGACAGCTTGAGGCTCATAAATGGTGTCACCCTAGTTTTGTAGAAGAACCTCTGCTTGTCGAACAGGGTCAGCACCGACATCAAACACTGACGATTCTGACGGAGATGGATCCGCTTTCTGTCTGAGTCGGTTCTGATCTGATTCACCGTTAACGCTAAAGATCAACACGTGCTGAGTTTAAAAGAATAAGACAAAAGGAACGACTCGCTCAGAACCTGCTGCTGCTTTTTTCACACATGTAACCGATCCAGACGGCCCGGTTCTGCCATCCGCTGCACACTAGCTGACCAGCGCAGCGACCGTCTCGTTAAACCCAGGTTGAAGGCAGCCGGTGCACATTATCTCCTGCTGAGAGGAGCCCAGCGGCGCCGGTTAACTGCAGTGGACCTTTAAACGAGCCGCAGACGTAACAGAGCTCGGGATCGGTGAGGTGAAACGAGCTGGACCGGGAGCACAGAGGCAGAGAACACAGAACACAAGCTGACGGCAAACCTCTGGACCAGACTTGTGTCACCGGCTGCTCTGATTCTCTTCAGCAGCCTGCGCTAATGGAGGCTAATGGAGGCTAATGGAGGCTAATGGAGGCTAATGCTAACGGGTGTCATGTCTGTCAAGTTTCTGTTCATGTCTGCACATTATGTCTCGTCCTTCCTGTTTTATTTTGAAATCACTTCACTGGGTGTTCTGTTCTAGGTTTACTTCCTGCACCTGTCTTGTCTCACCTGTTCCCTGATTACCTCCCCGCACCTGTTTCCCATCTCCCCTCACTACCTCGTGTATTTTACCCTGTGTGTCTCCCTTCACAGTCCTCGTACCAGCGTTCATTCAAGTTAAGTCACAGTGTGTTTGATCTCGACCTTGATTCTGTTTTTGGACCTCGCCTCTGCCCGCCGATTCTTGGACACTTCTGCCTGTTGGACTGAATTCCTGTGTACTGAACCCTGACTGTCATTAAACCTGTCTTTTGCCTGAACCTACTCTGAGTCAAGCATTTGTGTCCACCCATTCTGGTAGTGAGTTCATGACAGCGGGAGGATTCCCACAAAGCCCTGCTGCACCGTTTCCCGCCGCTCACAACATGAAGCTTTTGCATGTTCACGACCATGTGACTTCTTCATCATCTGGGCCCGGAGGGAAACGGCCTGGTCACACGTTTTTGGAAGCTAATATGATTCAAGTTATTTAATATTCAGAATTTGCAGAAACCACTTTTCTCAATAACACACTTCATGTACCACAGACCAGCTGCAGTACCTGGTTGTTCCACCAGGGGGAGCCTCTCCCTGTTTAGTCCTGTAGAGACCAGAGGAGGGGTCTACAGACTACAGCTCCTGGTGGCAGCAGAGAGCATTGTGGGAGTTTAGCAGCAGCGGGACCATGACAGAGACTCTGAGGAGGTTCAGGACCTCCAGGCAGAGCTCAGGTGAGACTGTGATGGTCTCTGCTGCAGTCTGATCCATGTGTCTGCAGCATTATCAGCACAAAACTATGGAACTGTGCCAGCTGTACGTAACTAACAAACCAGTCACTGTTTGTGTTGGTGCACGTGACAACAAGCAACGTGTGCTGTGCTGGATCCGGGCTGTGGAGAGGGCAGCACGCTGGGAGACACGTTGATGTTCTGATTTCTGTCCTGCTGACAGAAACATCCTCCGTCTCCATTTTGCAGCTGCTGGTGTGGATCTCATGCACTCGTCTTGTACTTTACCGTCTTTTACAGATTGCTTTGCGTCGCATTAGGATCGCTGTGCAACACGCTGGGGTTGTTTTGCGTCTCTTTGTCGTCATTTTCCTGCAAGTTTTTGTTTGTTTGCCTCTTGTTGCGACGCTTTGAGGCTGTAGTAATGACGTGGTTAACACCTGAGGATGCTCTTTTTCAACTTCTCTAAAATAACATGCAAAAAAATCCTTTTTTTTCTTGTTTCCTGGTCTCCATGGTTCTGCTGACAGAAGACGTCTGTGAGTTCTGTCTCCTCCTTCATGTGGTTCTGGTTCCTCAGAGCTGCAGGACTTTGTGCTGAAACATGAACCTCAGTGAAGGAACACGATCCAGGAGGACAAAACGCCCTTAAACTGCTGCTTCGGGTTTAAAGGTCGGAAGCCAACCTCCTGGTTATTGGTCCATGAACTGTGAAGCCACACAGCTGATTTCTTTTCTCCTTCTCAGTGCTTCTCTGCTGTTCCTGCTCAGTTCGCTGTGAACGTGGAGGTCGACAAACTGCGTCTTCAAATAAGGTCAAAAACAAATGAACGTCTCCAAGAAGCCTCAAACCAGAGTTAATGATGCCAAAGTGCAGCAGGTTCCAGAGGAACCCTTCATGTTGCTATGAAGAACCCAGCCTGCCCTGGGTGTCCTCCACACGCTGACCTTTAATAACTTCACACTCATGAATCTCCAAAACCACCCCAGAGGTTTCCAGCACAACTTCCACTTTATCAGCATGTTCTGACAGAAAAACCTTCCTACATGTCAGCGACGCTGTAAAAGCAACACAGCCACGACCACAGCCTTGTCTGCTGGAACGTGGACCTGAAGTGGACCTCTGCTGGGTCCATGTTAAACTGCAGGCTTTTACATCTGCAGCAGAATGTGCGTTTCAGTCCCGACAGGATCAAGAACTCTCACTGGTGCCAGCTTCACTCCACTTGAGCGTACCCGCTTTTCCTTTACGACTTCCCATTAACGAGACTCTGCTGTGTTTAGGAGCTTCACAGATGTTTTCGGTTTCCCCACATTGAATCATAAGTTGCAAAAGAACCAGCAGCTCCGCCACACCACCAGGTGGCGTCTGGGTGGAGTTTGAGTCGCTGTAGCTGATTCAGGGTGGACCGTACAAGAGGACGGAGCAGACTGACGGTTCCTACAGACGGAGCATGCCTGTGCGTCGGAGCGTGGGGCGCCCACGAGCTCATTTGTCCTTTTTGCTTGCTGTACTCAGGTTAGCTTCTGTTAGCGCATCTATGGCAGTTACCATCATATGTTAGCATTATGCTAGTGGGCTAATTGTTTTCTACGTCTCGGCAGCTACACTCTGAGATCTCAAGGCTTTAAACTAAGCTGGATAATGTAGTGAATACGTCCTGTGACTGTAAACGTGGTTTAAAGATGTCGTGCCTTCAGGCTGCACCTGGAGATGTTTGTCTGTCATTGACAGAACCAAACTCGACACCAACACTCAGGGAGGGCAGAGTAATGTTAACGTCATACCAACGGGAGGTAAACGATGCTCCAGAGAATCCAACAACAGGACCCCCACGTCTCCCTACTTTAATAAATGGCGACCATTTGAGTGTTTGCACAGCTCCTTCATTATTTCTCAGAATCAATCAATCAAATTTTATTTGTATAGCGCTTTTCATGTGCAACAACAACGCAAAGTGCTTTACAGCATTTAAAAACAACAAAGCATTTAAAAACTATTACA